TTGCTGAGCAGACTCATGGTTCAAGAGCACTGCATCCAGGTACAGGTAATGCTAGCTAGAATAGAAGTCCAGTATAGATGTCTTCTCTTGGCAATGGAGTTGTTCTAGAACTTCCATCCATAGGCAAGCCAGTAGTGGTTGTGAGGTCCAATATTAGGCTTCACCAACTTGAAACTGAGTTCCAGAGCAATGTCATATGCTGCCTGAAGTTGGGGTAGTGATGGTGAAAACAGTCCTTTGGCCATTGAGGTGGACATTCAACAGGGTTATATTGAGTCTCATAGTCTCAAGGATCTATATATTTTTGGAGCATATCAGGGCCCGTACTGCAGCTAGTCATAATGCAGGCCAGTGTTCTTGTGTTAGGAAGGTTCTAGAGCCCTGTAACCACAGAAACCTCTGTAACAGACTGAAAGACTGAAGGTAGAGACAGTCTCTTGATCACCAGGATTGAGGTTAAACCCAACAACCACAGGTACCTGAGTAGTGCTGGTGGAGGGTACGTGTGCACATATACTAAGCTCACTCCAAGGCTGGAAATTCTGTGGGCAGAAACTTGAATCTATGCCACTCATGCACATGTCCCTACAGGCCCTTTAAGAGTTTCTATACCATGCTGAGTCTCACATCAGTGGGCCTGATATTGAGCTGGGAGACAAAGCCTTCTGCTTAGCTTTCCAGTCCTGGTCTCCAGCAGGTGGAGTCTTGGCTTCACCTTGTTGCTGTAAGCAAGAGGGGAGTATTGCGGCATATAATCTATGGGTATTGGCCTGGTGTGGGTATGTGGAGCTTTGCCCAGAACAGGGTTTTGAGGTAGCTTTGGTACTATGTTTCAAGTCTAAGAGCTGGACTTAATTCTTTCTCCCTCCCACAAATAGGAGGTATCTCTTTTTATACTGGGCTGCTTAGAATTGGGGGGGGCATGCCTCAGACAAACCTTTCCTTCAAAATATCACTTTGTTTTGTTATACTAAATACAGACAGGTCTCTCACTTGTTTTCCTTAGCTCTTATGAAAGTAGTTTGGTGTGTGAATAGCTGCTCAAGTTGGTGTGTCTGTGAATAGATGTTTAAGTTGGTGTAATATGGTCACTAGAGGATCTTACTCAGCTCCCTTAAGTTTTGTATTTCTAATTTTCTTAGGTAAGAAATATCCTCCATTTATTATTGTCTAATTGTGATTCTCATTTCTTTTAAGAAAGTGCACTTGAAGTTTGCATTGCTTCTAATGTGATATCTGAGCCAGATATATGAGTGGAGGAGCAATCTCTATGGATCACTGAAGGGAAAATATTTTGGCAGAGTAGCAAGTATAAATGCCCTGAGGTAGAAGAGTCTTTGGTATATTTGCCAAAAAGCAGAAACCACAGTAGTTGAGTAGGCTAAACAAAAGAGATGTCTAAGAGATGAAGTCAAGATGGGTGTGGTGGTATATGCCTGTAGTGCCAGCATTTGGGAAGTAGAGAGAGGATTGTGAATTTGTGGTAGCCTGGGCTACATAATGAGACTCTCCCTCAAAACAAACAAACAAGTCAGGTAGGATCTTGCTGTCAGTGGGGTGGAAAGAAATTAAGTTTGAGTTGAGAGTGATATAATCTGATTTATTTCTTTAACATTTCTCTCTGAAGTTGTCAGTGGCTCATGCCTATAATCCTTGCTATTCACAAAACTGAGATCTGAGGATCATAGTTCAAATCCAGCCCAGGTAGGAAAGTCTGTGAGACTTTTCTCCAACTATCAAAAAGCCATAAGTGAAGCTTTGGCTCAAAGTGTTAGAACAATAGCCTTGATCACAAAAGATCTGGGACAGTGTCCAGGCCCTGAGTTAAAACCCCAGGCTAGCACAAAGCCAAAACAAAGACAATTCTTTCTGGTTGCTGTGTTTAGAAAAGAATGTACAGGGCTGGCTGGGAAGGTGGCTCAGTGGTAGAGCGCTTGCCTTGTATGCATGAGGCCCTGGGTTTGATTCCTCAGCACTACATAAGCAGAAAACAAAAAGCCAGAAGTGGCACTGTGGCTCAAGTGGTAGAGCGCTAGCCTTGAGGTGAAGAGCTGAGGGACAGCACCCAGGCCCAGAGTTCAGGCCCCATGACCGGACCCCTCCTCCCCCACAAAAAAAGAATGTACATTACTAGAGGATTATTGCAATAATATAAGAGATAGATGATGGTGACTTGGCAGGTGAAGTTGTAGAGTTTGGTATACATTTTGATGTTAAAATGTACTAATGAGCTAGCTGTGGGGAATTAGTAGGAAAGAAGGATTGATGATGCCGAAGATTTAGGTCTGAATTATTTTAAAGGTGAGGATGGAGAACTTTGCAGAAGAAGTAGATTACAGGTAAGTAGAGATCAATAGTTCAGTTTTGATAGTTCAGTTTGAGATGGAATTAACTCAGTTTGACATTCTAAATGGAAATGTTGAGTATTAAATTGAGTAAGACTGTCTAATTCAGAGGAAAGTCTTGAGTTACAGATAGAAACTTTGAAGTATGAGTACTGATAATATTTAAAATTGAGACAGAATTGGTTTCCTAAGGAAAAAGAATAAAGAGTGGTCTTAGGATTCTTAAAGGCTTCAAGAATAAGGGAGAACCAGTAAAAGTAATTATATTTAGTCTACTTATTAAAGTGGCAGATTGGATTCAAAGGAGGGATTTGAAAATTCAAGGACAATTATCACCTACTACATATAAAGAATGTCACTCTGCTAATTTTTTTTTTTTTTTTTTTTTGCTGGTCCTGGGGCTTGGACTCAGGGTCTGGGCTCTGTCTCTGAGCCTCTCTATGCTCAAGGCTAGTGCTCTACCACTTGAGCACCACTTCCGGCCTTTTCTGTTTATGTGGTACTGAGGAATTGTACCCAGGACTTCATGCATGCTAGGCAAGCCTCTACCACTAAGCCCAAAGAAATCATTGCAATCTTAGTGGTTTTTGAGTGTCTTGATAAATCTTAGTGGTTTTTGAGTTTCTTGATAAATTTTTTTTGTTTTTTTTTTTGCCTGTCCTGGGGCTTGAACTCAGGGCCTGGGCTCTTGTTCCTGAACTTCTTTTGCTCAAGGCTAGCACTCTACCCCTTGAGCCACAGCACCACTTCCTCTGCTAATTTCTATTTTTTAATACTTTTTTTGTGTGTGTGTGAAGATACTGTACCGAGGGGTTTCAGTTACATGAGCAAGGTAATGAGTCCATTTCCCATTGAACATTGTTACCCCTTCCTTTATTTTTCCCCTACAATCCCTTTCCTCCCCACCTCCCTAATTCTTCCCCACCCCTCACAAAATTGTACAGTTCATTTTCAACATAATGTCTTGTATATTGTTACAATGGGTCATCCTGTATCCTTATTTCAGCAATTTATTTCCCTTCCCCTCCCCAAATTAGAAAAATGTATATACAAGATGCAGGACACTGGAATCAAATACAGTGACCACAGGGGTTTACCATGGGGGAAGAACATACAAAGAAACAAAAAAAAAATCACATAGTACATTATAAGTACATTAAAAAGAACAACAAGAAAGATAAAATCTCTTGTGTCCCTATCTTGGGGTTCATTTCACTTAGTATCAGCTTATATGGTTATATTTACATAGCTTTTGACCTCTTCTGCTTGTCCTAGACATATACTAGTTATTGCAGATAAGGGAAACCATGGGATCTATGTTTCTTTGTGCCTGGCTGGCTTCACTTAATGTAATTTTTTCCAGTCTTTCCATTTCCCAACAAATGGGGTGATGTCATTCTTTTTGATGGAGGCATATTGTATATATACCACATTTTCTTGATCCATTCATCTACTGAGGGGCATCCGGGTTGGTTCCATATCTTATCTATGGTAAATAATGCTGCAATAAACATAGTTGTGCTGGTAGCTTTAGTATGGTCTTGCTTGTGATTGGGTAAATGCCCCAAACTGGGATTACTGGTTCATAGGGGAGCTCTATGTGGAGTCTTGTGAAGAACCTCCATACTACTTTCCAAGTGGTTGAACAAGTTTATACTCCCACCACCAATGCAATAGGGTTCCCTTTTGGCCACATCCCCTCCAGTATCTGTTGTTATTAGATTTCTTGATTATATCTGCTAATTTCTTTCAAGGCTATTTGGTTTAGTGAGAGGAAGAAAAGTATTCCTTTATATATAGTTACTATATATATATAATTATATATATATACTTCTTATAAAGAAGTAGTGAATAAATGGTATATTCTTTGAGTGGAAATTAACCTTTGTGGATATATTGTCTCATTTCATACTGAATAAATAAAATGGAGGAAACAAGCTCAGAGAGATTAGTAACAGTAAGCATTATACAGAGCCGGTAAGCAGGTTTGAGACATAAATTTAGCTGATAACTCTTTCAATAAATCACATGTATTATTAGGAGAAATAGTGACATTGGGTAGGATATCCCAGTAAAGTGTGATAGAAGCAAAGAAAAGCACAGATTTGAGAAAGTGGAGAATGTATGCAAATGTGTGTGGAGAAGTGGGAAACATCTGGCTCATAGACCACATTAAGGTCCATGAAAACATTTGGTATATGATGGGACAGACCTATCATGGCAGTATGTGTGTGTTTGGAGGAGATGGGGTATATATAGGGAATTACGGCTGAAAGTATTGGCTGAAATTCACCATGGAAGGAGCCCTGAAAGATCATCTTAAAGACTTGACATTATTTTTCAGGAAATTATGAACTTTAAGATAGACTTTTTTTTGACAAAAGAGAATCATACCTACCATGTGGACTAGTGACCAGCACTATACTCTTTATTTCATATTGTTTTACAGTTGGATATTCTTTTGGAAGACAGGATTATAGAAAACAAAAATGAGCTGTTGAAATTGTGTTGAATATGAATGATCAATTTGGTATAGTAATTTATGGAATATATTTGTTAAACTATTTCATGTCATGAAGTTAGAAAGACATATAGAATAGATGAGTATACTATATTTCTAAGGCTACATGTGAATTTTAAAATTATGTTTTTCAGATACTGACCGAGCTTTATCATTGCTAGAAGAATATTGCAAAAAGTTAAGAAAACCAGAGGAACAGCTGTTGAAAAATGCTGTCAAAAAGGTGATGAGTATTTTCAAGAGCAGCTTATTCCAAGCTTTGTTGGGTACGTAGTACAAAAAATGTTTATCATTTTAATGGTCAGAATTGAGCTTAATAGTTTGGATATATATGGTTAAAGAACATGTTAAAATTGAAATGGGTAATTTTCCTTGATACTGGAATTTTTTCTTTTTAAAATTTAATAATTACTAAAAAAGATATGTTATACAATACAAATAAGTGATAGATTACTGAAAAATGTAAGTATTGAAAATATTTTTGTGAAGGAGGGAAAATGTACACACATAAAAACTAAGTAGTTTGTTGCAAAAAGTTAAGGACAGATATGCTGGAGAACAAAGTTGTTTCCCTTGAGAGAAGGAATTGTCTTAACATGAAAATGTCGGGCAACATCCTTTTCAAGATCCAAATTTGCCTTTCATTCTCTTGAAACAAGTATAAAAACAATCTTTTCTTCTTTCTTGCTGCTATTAGGAAAGTTTATGATCCAGCATAAAAATTTGAATTTAAATTTAAAACCATTTGACTGTGAAAATTGCTAATTAGTTTAGTAAAAATAGATAGACGTAAAATTTTTTATAGGATCATTTTGCATGTTTCTTGAGTTCTTTAAAAGAGTCTATTGTGGTTGGTAAGAAGTAGTGACACAAATAACTATAATCTTAGCTAGAATTAAATAAAAATATCTTTGAATGGAATCTTACAGAATGTAAATAAATTCTATTAGCAAATAATATTTTGGGGAGCATGTTAAACAACAGATTTCTCAATTAAAATTAACATCTAGCTGATAATTAGTAAAATCCATTAACTAGATGGCAATGTTTCTAAATACATTTGTATGACTGTATGATTTCTAAACACATTTGTATGTGTTTAGTTAAGATTTGCTTTATCTTTTCAGAGCTTGAGTTTTTGAGAACTTGAGTTTGGCAAAGTATTGTTGAATGATGTAGATAATTCTACATTTTGATAATGTGGTCATTTGATAGCACCATTACCTAGGAAAAATGAGTGACAAATAATTGCATTTTGCTATTATTTTAAGTGAATGATAAATACCTTTGCTTAAATCCTATAGTGTAGTTGAATTTCTCAATAAAATGAATGACAACAATAATCTGTAAAAAGCTGTTATGTAAGTAATCCCAATGCTCAGCTTTGAATAGATAGATTTGCTTTATCTGGCATTGAAAGTCATTTGGGGGATAAACCAGAGTACAAAGAACTGTATGTATCACAACATAATTTCTATTGAAGTAGCTAAATACTGATTATTAATTTATTATTATTGACTCTTAATGGCCTCATTCTGCATTTTCTTTAAGCACTCCAAATAAAAGCCAAGTAAGCAGAGCATTCTTTTTTTTTTAATTTTATTTTATTGTAAAGATGCTGTAGCCATGAGCATTCTGAAAAAGATGTATATTTTTATAAAAACATTTGTTGGGAACTATTGATAATGACATATTGTTTACAATCTGTAGTTAGCTTTCTCCCTCTTCCCCAACCTCCCTTTTGTTACAAGTAATGGAAAATAGAGGCTTCACTCATTATTCTGATATTCAGATAGCCACTATATGGAAATAATTTCTGAAATGAATTTCACTAACTGCATGAATAAAGGGCATCATGTAACTGTAACCCCTCTGTACATCACCTTGACAATAAAAATTAAATTAAAAAAGAAGGGAATCTTAATAAAAAATCAAATGAAAATGCAATGTAAAATGCAATACGATTACTGCACAATGTGAAATATTTATATGTGATCAGGAATCTTTGTGCAGATAAAAGCATCATTGTGAAAATAAACACTTCCCTCTTTTTGTAGTCATTCATCATATGCTTAACACCTCCCAAACTAGTATGCCTTAGATAGTATAATCTTTGAGCATCAGAATTCTGTCTAAATGACTGTGGTCAGTATCACAGAGTGTAACTACTTTATGAATGAGTTCTGTGAGAATCTAGAAGGTGATAGCAAGCACATTGTGTTTTTCAGTCTTTAAAAGACAACTTCAGGGCTGGGAAGTTGGCTCAGTGGTACAGTGCTTGTCTCGAATGCATGAGGCCCTGGGTTTGATTCCTCAGTACCACATACACAGAAAAAAGCTGAAAGTGGAGCTGTGGCTCAAGTGGTAGGGGCTACCCTTGAGCTGAAGAGCTGAGGGACAGCGCCCAGGCCCAGAGTTCAACCCCTTATGACCGATAAAAAAAAAAAAAAAGACTTCATTTGATCATATAAGTGATATATATATTTAAATGAGGAAAGTAAAAGAATATACAATCCAATTTTTAAGGTATTATATTTGTATGGCAATGGTAGGTTATCTGATAATCATAGAGTTTAACTTTTTCCCTTTTTATTTCTAGAGTTCCTATATTGTTTTTTCATCTCCAATTTTCTAATATCGGACAGTGGAAACAGTACTTTGAAAGTTAGCCATCAAATTTCATTGATGTACAAAACAAGAAAAACACCTGAGCAATGAGCTCTAAGCTAACATTTAGATGTTAGGTCTAGGGTGACATCTTGTGGTACTACTAAGGAAAAAAAATATCCAATAGATAATTTCAGTTTTAACTTAATGTTAAACATTAACAATTTGTAGAGTCTGAACATAAGTGAATTGGAATTGAATGATTTTTTTTACAAGTTATGTCCTTTTAATTTAAAATAGCTAAAACATTCCAATTTTCAAAGCATTTATTAACTTAGGTGATGAAAAAGCCAGATGGAAAAATTTTTATTATTATTTTTATAAATCTCTTCCACATCTGCTTTTGAAAATTTAAAGGTCTATATTTGTTTGAAAGCTATTTTGATAATATAATAGACTTATATTTTCAGATGCATTATTTTCAGATACATATAAAAGTGCTTAATGAAAATTATGCTTTTAGTCATTACTTATACAAGTTTGGGAAAATATATATATATATATATATACATATATATATATATACATACACTCTATCTATCTATCTATCTTCCTTCTAAACTTTCTGAATCTTGCTTATCCAGTTTGTTCCTTATTTTACTACTTTTTGGGGGAGAGAAGTCTTCAGAAAGGTGTAGGAAAGAGTAGAGAGTAGTAACTTTCTCTTCCTTTCCTTTCCTTTTCCTTTTCCTTTTTCTTTTTTCCCTTCCAGTCCTAAGGTCTGAACTCAGGGCCTGGGAGCTACCCTGAACTTGATTGCTGAAGATTAGTACTCTACCACTTGAGCCACAGTTCCACTTCTGGCCTTTTGGTGGTTGATTGGAGATAAGTGCTCCTTGGACTTTCCTGCCTGGGTTACCTTTGAACTGTGATCTTCAAATCTCAGCTTTCTGAGTACCTAGGATTATAAGCATGAGCCAACAGTGCTGGGCAAAAGTAGTAGCTTCTTATGCAGGCTGTTAAACCTTATATGTTAGACTTTGTGTTACACTTTTTATTTACAAAGCATAACAGAAAACTCTATAGGTACTTGTACTTACTGACAATAGTGGGTGACTCAGTAGATGTATGGTGTATTGGGATTTATCATTTCCTTTCCCCACATTCTCCTTACTAGAAGCTTTTATCAGCCCTTCATTGTCTCATAGCTTTAATTACTGTAAAGTACCACATTGTCCTCTGATACATAAAATGAATATATTTCTATTCCCTCAATCTTGTTAGCAGCTTGTGGGTAGGGGTTATATAGAAATAATATCTTTTGGTGTGGTCCTGGGGCTTGAACTCAGGGCTGGGGCTCTGTTTCGAGCTTCTTTTGCTTAATTTAAGGCTAGTGCTGTATTACTTGAACCATAGCTCCACTTCCAGCTTTTTGGGTAGTTTCCTGGAGATAAGTGTCTTACAGACTTTCTTACCCAGGCTAGCTTCAGACCATGATCCTCAGGTCTCAGTCTCCTGAGTAGTTGGGATTACAGGTGTGAACCACTAGCTCCCAGCTTCCAATTAACTTTTGTACCCCTGGCATATGGACCTTTAATAAAAAATAATGATAAGTCTTCAATAAATTGTTTTTAATGTACTCAACTATTATTTAAAAATGACTTGTTATGTTGTAGATACTGTGTTAGGCAAGATAGATACAATAGTCAACTATGGAGATCAGTGCTTGTTACACTCATGGGCAAGTGGAGGAAATATAAGCAATTATTTAATTATGGTGATAAGGACCACAAACAATTTTTTTTATCACCTTTTAGTTTGAGTTAAAAAAACTGGATTTTCCTGTTACACTATGCTAATATAATATTTTTATGTTAAAAATAAGATCTATTTGAAAACATCATGGCTTTTAAATTTTAATTGTTAATAATGATGTATATACTTTTTTAACCACCTGACAAAGCATGAAGGCTGTAGTTTTGTGACAGTGATATTTCTTCATTCTTAGATTTTGTAGATTTATGGTCATTCTGAGACATTTTTAGTAGTTTTAGAATCTATAAATTCATAGATAATATGGCATCTAATTTTCCTTTAAAAATACAACAGTATATCTGAATCATTGAAATGATTTTCTTTTTTTGTATACTTAATGTTAGGTTTACTTACACTGTTATGGATGGAGAACAACAAATTTACATTTAGATGCTGCTATTGGGCCATGTACAATAAGTCACACTCAGTCTTTTTTTTTTTTTTTTTTCCCTTCACTACTGGGGATTGACTTCCAGACCTTAACTTTGCTAGGCAGATGTTCTACCACCTGAGCTATGACTCTAGCCCACTTTTGTATTGGTTGCTTTGGAGCTAGGGTCTTACTTTATGCCCAAGTCAGGCTATAGTGTGCTACTCCTACTTGGACTTCTCTATGTTACTGTGGATGACAAGCATGCTCATGCTCCATTGTGAGAAGCCCCACTCCTCCTGCCCATAGCTGGGATCATCCCAGCATGTCCCACCAGGCCCAGCCATTGGTTGGGAAGAAGTCTTTTTTTCTTTTTTTTTTTTGGGTCCGGTCGTGGGGCCTGAACTCTGGGCCTGGGCGCTGTCCCTCAGCTCTTCAGCTCAAGGCTAGCGCTCTACCACTTGAGCCACAGTG